GGGGGGTGAATGTCAGAGACGGCAAGTAAGTTGGTGAATGAACGTGAGGGATAGAAAGATAGTGATTGGTCTATGGACGGGGGGGGAGGTGAAAGCGGGGGGGGTAGTCCTCGGGGATTCACCATACTTACTTTCCTTCCTTCTTTCCATTATACATCCTCCCTTTGTGTATCCAGTCAGATCAATATCCTGTTATCTTACAAATCTTCTTATAATGGCTGCATCAAATTTTACTTTCTAACGAACAATGACCACGCGCATTTTGTTTCCATGGAGGAAATTTGATCGAACATGAAAATCGATACCGATAAGAACGATATGAGAGTTGGCGGGAAATTCGAATCTGCGTATCTGGTCAAACGGAGCTTTTACGAAAATTTATATTGAATTAATATTTTTTTTCATTTATTCGGTCATTTGACCCTGAAAATGTGTTTTTTTTTGGGAAATTTTGGATCTCGAAAAAATCTCAGTTTGAGTATATGGTGTAGACACGGGTCTCTGGACATTGTTTTTAAAAGCTAATTGTAAGCCTAAGGCCTTTTACGGGATACGCGGGGGTGTAAACCCCCTTCATCCCTTGTTTCGAATACGTGATGGTTTGTTACGTTGGTATCAAAGCCCCCCGTAAACGCTGGCGGCCAATTTGTAACCGAATAAGACCCAACCACCCCATCTCCCATCGAATCGTCTCTGTTCATCTTTAACTCGAACTCGCACCCGACCACCCTCAAACCCCATAATACAACATTCCAGCAGCTCCAACAGTTTTAACAGAACCCATAAGCTCCCTTTTCCTCCCATGCTCATCTGTACCTTATTCCTTTCGATCCATTAGGCAGAGCGCATTACCCACTAGTCCACCGCAGGTATTTACCATTTCATTCCCATATTCCCCCTTTGTACTTTACATTCGAATGGGTCTTTCATGGGGAACAGTTTCTGCGACTCGCGAGAAAGATCGTACTTGCAATCGGATCACGCAAGGAGTCAGTCGTGCGTGTCACGTTGTTTTACATCTCCCGGGGAAGAGGGGGGTAGAGGCTGGACCGGAGGCTCTCTCAGTATTCTTTTTCCCGCTGAAAGGATTAATCTTTTTTTTCTTCTTCTCCGCTCAAGGCTCATTTTCATATCGACGTTAAATTCCAATCCAGAAGTACGTGCTGTGACTCGGTACGATTTTCTCGAAGAAAACTAAAGAATTGCCGTCGTAACGTAGATCCTTCGTCGTAGGCAGCATCCCTACTGTTACAGTGATACCAACTGTCGTATACGTAAAGAAAATTTATTGGACCCCTCAAAATTTAATCTTTCGTCCGCCCCCCCTCTTGCGTTTCTAGGAAGCTAGATATAGAGTCGAGAGTTTCGAGGATCGCGTTTTTTTTTAAATTTTTATTTTAGAGACAAATGGAAATAAGCGATCGGATTGGCTGATACGATTTCACGTTGGTGCTTTCGTAAATTTTTCTCTGACCGTTGGAGGCAAATTGCTTGAACCGGAAGTCATCGGGGAGTACGGTTCGGTCAGTCAGAAAAGTCGAACGTTGGAAACTTCATTTTTGCAATTTTATGCCAGAAACGGTTTTACGTCTCGTGGAGCACACGTGACGTGAGTAGTACATGCCTCTGGCCTTTGGCATATGTATACATGGAGTAAATACATATGAGGATACATACGGATGTTATATGGGTATTGGGAGCCACGTTTAAACGTAGAAAAGTGTAACGGTCGTAGGTAGTCTCTAGGAAACGACAAGTCGCAGTATGTTCCTATTGGCGACACTCAGTTACAATTCTGTCGCAGCTTTCTTTTATTTCTATGGTATATTCGTCAGCGACGCTTTTTCGTCGATTGGTCCTTCTCGCGTGCGAGTGACTGAAAGCAGGGGAAATACGTGACGCGGGCGACGGAACGCGTGGTTTTAAATTGCGAGCGAATATTTTTCGTTGAGAACGCACATTTTTTGTTTTCTTTCTTGTAATCACAGGTCCCCGTATAACGGGTGGGACTTCGAAGCTTCGGCAAATCTTTCGACAACGGCTCGATCAAAGAGACGGCCATCTTAGGTCGGTACGATGCGAGTACGTTGGAATTTTGTCGATTCTCTGGTTAAATAATTCTTGACACTCTTATATGTATGTGTATAACCGACGTCGTGACGTCATATTTACCAGAAGCAAATTTTACGTGGAAATTACGTTCTGAGTAACTTTGAAGTTTTAGACGTCTCTTAGACTGTCTTTTCTCATTCCGATAAAGGACGACGACGCCCGACACTACGCGAGTCTCGAACCTTCTGTCAAACTTACAAACAGTATGCTACTACGTTAGTTAATTGAGCGAACTTGTGCAAGGAGAAATATTATTCAAAAAATTCATAAAATTTACATACCCTTCGGTGCCATTTTATTGGTACGTTGTTATTCGTCTCACGAAGCGACGTTTTTTATTTTTATCTTTTTTTACGTCAAATATCCCAAAGACGCTTTTGCATTGCACGAAGACGCTGCTGTTTGTGGTTATGCGTATCGAGGTATGTCGGAGATTCTCGAGAGTTCTCGTTGAAAACTTTCTCTCAAAGCCAGCTGAAGGGATGTAAAGGGCGTTTTCTTATCGCACGGCGATATATGTATATATGTGTGTATATAAATTTATCTATACGTTGAGAATCGTGACTTTACTGAATTTTTGCCTTCTAAGGAAATACGGGAAGAAAATACGCAGGAAGCGACGTATCTCGAGAAGGCGGCATGTGGCGTGGACTTTTTAAAAGGTGGATGTGACGTTTCAGGCGGATAAGATTACGGTGCCCCATGGCGAGCGAGTAGCTCTGAGATGTCGCGAACTTGGAAGATACAAGCTAATAGGCGACTCGGTGCTGCACTGTCGTAACAGCGTGTGGAACGGTACACTGCCAACTTGTATTCCAACGACGGCCATATCCAACTACACTGGTAAGTAAAAGTAATGTAATCTACAAAGATTCTAAGCACGCGTCGATTTTTCTCATATAAACTTTTCCCGTGGAGTTTCACGCACTGTAGGTTATGTAACGAGTCTTTGGACCGATATTGCCGTACGTTTTCACGGCGTGAGTCGAGTCCGTAAAAGCGTCAGTGGCAGAAAAGTTTATCCGTTAAGTTTTTCGAGGGTTGCACTCGACTTGCAGTAATCATTATCAACGTACACACGATACAGGAGGGAGTTCCGGATACGAGTACTCGTGGAAGCCAGGATTTCTAATTAGCCGTCTCGTAAAGTTCCGAACGGGAGAAAACGTCGTAAACGACTAGGCGAAAAGCGTCTTCTTCTATTCGCGATTGCACTGGGTCCTATCGTTGCACTTTACTTTCCGGTCGTTTCACTTCGATCGCCAGGAACTTTGAGGAAGTTTAAAAATCTTCGCGGTTTGACAGTTGTGTGTGCTTCTTCGGATTTTTCGATTGGGACTGTGAAACGATAAATTCGTGCTGGCGACATCTGGCGTCTCCTTGCGGTACTACTGTGTGCAGGTTTAACCAAGAAATACTTAACGACGGTTGAGTCGTGGCTGAGGCTCGCTATAGGATATGTATGTGACGGTCGAGAGAGGTGGTTGAAGAGGAGGATAAGGAAAAGGAGAGGAGAAGATGGAGCTTGCCACGTTGGGTGCTTGGAAATGCAGACAAGCATTCTCTGGCGTTGGCTACCGTGCTTTGGCCTCCTTAGATTTATTTTCTAGCCACGTAGTCCGCGCGCCTCTGCTACACCTAGGTTGGCTTCCTTAGACGTAGACCTATATTTGCGCCCCACCCCCCCGGGGGGG